ATGAATGAAAAATCAATTTATCTAACGTAATGGCCCTTCATTTATTTTTCTTCTCCATTTTCACTCACTCCCCAAGTTTATGGAAATTCGGGGCGTGACAACTTGATATCAGAGCCTAGATTCGAATACCTCGAGATTGTGGGGTGTTGGTGAACATGATAAGGCCGTGATGTATGGTTTTAAATTTTGGTGAGCATTATGTTAAGTGTAAGAACTTGTTTGGTGTATGTTAAGACATGTTGTGGTTGTTGCTTGTGAAGTATGAGTTGTTGACATGTATATGTTTCATGTCTATGTCTAGTGTAAAAAGAGGTATTAATATTTGTTCTTAGACTTGTACACACATGCCAGTAAAGAGGACTCCTGCTAGACCTGTAGTACCTAAGCGTGGTAGGCCTAAAACGACATCACCACCGCGGCGTGGTAGGCCCTAAGTTGCTGCTCCTGCTCATAGCACAACTGAGGAGGCCATTACTCCTGCTCCTGCACCTGCCCCAGCAGAGGAGGTGGAGCAGACCATTCGTGCCAGAGATATGACGACCATTCGTGCCAGAGATATGACGGCCATTTTACAGAAGTGTTTTCGAGCCGTGCAGGAGACTAGGACTACAAGTGGCGAAACCAGGGATACCTACGTGATGAAGGTATTCCAGAGGATGAGACCTCCTACATTTGCTGGACAGCCCGACGCTCTAGTTGCTAAGGAGTGGTTAGAGCATATCACCAAGATCCTGGACTCATAGGGGACCATGGAACAGCATTTGAGGATCAAGTGTGCCTCCTTTCAGTTTACTGAGTTGACTAGTCAATGGTGGAGAATAGCTACTCACCTGACATACAGTTTCGAGGAGGGATGAGATGTCTTTGTGGCCATGTTCAATGACCACTATTTTCCCGAGACTGCACGGATTGGGTATATGGATGAGTTCATGACTCTCCTACAGCGAGACATGACGGGGACTCAGTACGAGTCTCGTTTTATTGCATTAGGGAGATTTGCCCCAAATATTATTCAAGAGGAATGATTGAGAGTCATTTACTTTGTTAGGGGGTTGAAGACCTCCATCAGGGATAGACTGGCAGGCCACATCATGGAGACCTACGATGAGGCAATGATCAAGGCCACCAAAGTTGAGAGGGAGTTGGCCGACCTTAAAGAGATTAGAGAGTCCCGGACGCAGAGTGGGGCAGTTACAGCTCAAGCTTCTACATCTATCTCAGTTTACATGGGTAGGGGATCAGCGAAGAGGTACAAGACTAGTGCTTCATTTGCATAGACATTGCAGCAACCTGCCTAGTTTTTAGCTTCTCAACCTCCTATGCCTTTTTCTTTCCAAGAGAGAGTACCTTAGAGGTCCCTTACTTGTTTTCAATGTGGACATCCTGGCCATAGAATGACCGATTGCCCCTAGAGAGATCCTAGCCAGGGGCGTGGAACTGGATCGAGCTAGGGGTCATTTCTACCACCGGTACAGAGTGGAGAGCTCCACAACGTTGCTACACCTGCCACCAAACAGGCCATGTTAGGGCCAACTATCCTTAGGGGCAAAACTTCACAGAGGCCACATTACTATCTTGTTGTTCATGTCAAGTCGATCCTGTAATGATTGTATCAACTTACTAATGACGGGGTTTTCCCCTCGGTATGGAGGGATTCGCCCCGCATTGTGTTGCCATGATCTTCGTCTTGATGTGGTCTAAAACTTGCGGAAGAAATTTCATCTCCTTCCCCTAGTTTATTTGTGCTTTCACTGATATCCTTCCTAATGTCGGAGTTGGAAGGAAAAGACACTCGATATTCGGGGTCTGAGCTCTAGTATGCGTCATGAGCTCCCGATGATTCAATAGTACTCTTCAATCTTTTCATTTGGCTTTTTGTTCAAGAGGCTTTCCCACAGACAGCTCCAAAAATTGTAGGGGGAAAATGAGTTTACCTCACGTAACTCTTTTTTCTGGTTCTGAATTTGAACTTTGTCGATTCTTTCCTGCAAAATGAACAAATTGCCAAGGATCGAAGTGCTTCGATCAAAGGTACTCCAATGCTTAAGTCACTAATTGAAGAATAAATGGGAATGCAAAAAGGACTTAACATACATTCCCTGTGCTTTGTTTATTCCTTTTTATAATGATTCCTCCCGCTAGGGTTTCGGTGGTAAACGCTAGAAGGTTGCACACCTTGCTTCAATTCAGGGTTTCTGTTTGGAAACTTGTAGGAATTTCTCTTAACGTTCTCCCTATTTGACTGGATCCTTCGTAGTTGATAATCATGGTCTAGTTATATAAATCCCTTGATTGTGGTGATTCGTTTAAGGCAATATCTGTTTAAACGTAGAGCTCGATTCTGCCAAAGCCGAGCACATAGAGCTTAGTTCTACCGAAGCTGAGCACGTAGAGCTCGGTTCTGCCGAAGCTGAGCTATTACTTCTTCTTTGCCAAGCAGGTGACAGTTCGGCAGGTTGTTTTGTTGATTGACTCTTCGTTCCCTCACGTGTTTTGATAATGTCATTACCACGTGGGCATATTTAATGCTCATTACACATGTTATAATTCCTGATGCTCCTTCACAAATAAATCTCGTACCGACTGTTGTATGATATCAGACAATTGTGTAGTATCATTGATTCCAAATATTGTTGTAGACTAAAGAACATGATCCATACCATATGTATCTCTCCAATATGAAAAGTGATGAACCTAATTTTAAAGAACACATGTTAAATGCAACACAAATTTTCTATTAAATAAAACAAATATGACATACCTGTAACATATTTTGGTGTGGAAACCTAGAGTGTGTCATGTTGTCCATTGTATATCCACCTCTATATTCATGTAATGGAGTAAAGTTACTGTCATACAAGGAACGTGGGCTTGCCTTCATAACACATTATATACCACAACAAAATAACTAGCTCACAATAAAATGTTCAATATAATTGCTCAAATTAACAAATACAATCATTTACCTTTAATGCAATGCTTTGTTGAGTCTCAACTATGTCAACAACTTTCGTACTTAATGCATCATCGACGTTACCAATTTTGTTGCCCTGGACCATGTTAGAATCCTAAAAAAAAAATTATAAAATTAACAATGTAAACAAAATAAAACAGAAGTAATTTAAAAATCACATAATTCAAATATTTCACACCTTCATATAATTCCCTGCATTTTTTGTATTTGTATTTGTCTTTGCTTCCATCTTTTTTTTTCTTTTCCTCCTTTTTCCTAATTACTTGCTCGACCTTAGGTTGCTTCCTTTTATATGGTGGTCGCCCTTTACTATGAATTACCACTGGAGCAAGGATATTTGCATTCATTTTTGATGTCATAGTAACATCACTACAAGCTTTTGTTGCCCCAACATTCATGTTGGTAGTAGGTTGACTACTCTGATCAACACAATCATCTTTTTTTAGGTCCATTTCGAATTCATTTAGCCTCTACATCACTAAATTGATCTTTTCTTTAGAATTAGTTGCCAAGTCTACAACTTGATAAAATGTATTACACATCCTATCAAAATGGCATGTTTTAGGTTTGACACTCCAATTATCATAACTAATTTTCACCTTCGTGTGACACCTCTTAAAATTTTTCTTCCATCGTCGAATGATGTATTTTTTTGGAATCACTAAAATCTTCTTATGAATTAGCATTGTGATTGCATGTTTACATAGAATGCCCCTAAATTCAAACAAATGACAGTTACACTTAATGTCACAGTCATCATGAATTAAAAAAACTTTGAAAAATGTATGCCGAGATGACTCCCCAACCTTTATATTTTCAGATATTTCATACTTTGAAAATGAATCATTATCTTTAACCGAAGACAATTCACAATATATCTTCCTTGTTAATTCATGTTGAAACTTTTTAAATTTTCTAGTAGTATAAGCATCTTGAAACTTCTTCTCGATGACATAATGAGTTACACAAGGAATCCATGAATTATAGGAGTTAAACCCCTCTTGGTTCTCTTTTTCTACCTTGTTTCGCAATGCATTTTCATACAATTCAACAAATTATTTTAACGTAGTTTTGGAATTAACATATCCATAAAAAAAAAAAATGCATGCTCTCACTACGTTGTGTGGTGGACATTCCTGCCTAAAAAGTGTCTTTCACAAATGATGGCACCCATCGATGTCTCTCATCATACAATCCAAGCAACCACTCATTGCTTTCAAGATTATATTTCTCAATCATTTTATTCCACTGTTCTTCATTGGTCAAACAATCATATACAAAACTCTGCAATGCAAATTTGATTGACTCATACTGTTTATAACCTCTCAACTTTTCTGGCAACTTCTTCATTGTATGCCACAAACACCACCCATGGCATGTATTGGGAAAAACAATCCCAATTGCCTTTTGCATTGACTTGTCTTGGTCCATAATTATTGCATTTGGAGCACAACCAGCTATGCAAGCAACCCAAGATTGAAATAACCAAGTAAACATCTCAACATTCTCGCTTGATACCAATCCACATCCTAATAAAGTCGATTGACCATGGTGATTAATCCCGACAAAAGAAGCAAATGGCATGTTATACTTACTCGTTAAATATGTGGTGTCAAATATAATGGCATTACCAAACTTCTTATATGCTGCCCTACTCCTTGCATCTGCCCAAAATATATTTTCTCAAACGACCCTCATCATCCAAATCTATCATGTAGAAAAAGTTTGAATTATCACTTTGCATTTTCGGAAAATAGTTGTGAATTACAGTAGCATCTCCTTCCCCAAGCCGCAACCGCCTTACTTTGTCAATAAAATTTCTACAATCTTTCTCCAAAAAGGGAACATTCTCATACCCACTCACTTTAACCATAATAGAATTAAAGTTATTGTTAATTCGAATTCCAACTCTGTCATTCATTTCAAGTCTTCTTTTGATGTATGGTCTTATTATCCAGTTGCATCGATAGAAACGAGATTTGACCGAACTCAACCCATGGTTATGTTCAAGCAAGATGGAAGTCACTCACCACTTGCCATCAGGACATATAGCTGCTCTCAACTTAGCTTTACAATCAGTTTTGGTGATTGGATGCATTCTTGATGTAGACTTTGACTTTCCCGAGCAAGAACACGCAAATGTTACATATTTTAGCTCTCCATCATCTCCCTTTGACGATGTTCTTCTTTTTATGGGAGACCCTAGGTCATTACCATATCTTATGTAGTACTCCATTATTTCGTCAACTATATTAAACACCATTCCCAATTTTGGCTCTTCTAATTTTTCTTCCACATTGACTGTATTATCAAGTTCCTTCTCACAAGTATTACCATCCATCTCCATACTTGAATAGCTAGTTGGGATTTCTTCTTTCATTTCTATCAAATAAAGAACAAAACATAGATAATCAAAGAACATAGAAATAGTAGATTGTCATCGGAATGAGTACAACTAGTCAATCTTAAAGTTACTATTAGCACATCAAATGCTAGTTTTTATTGCCTAGTTGAGATACTGTATTTAAAAGATAGGAAAAAACTTATAAGATAGATAATCATTGAGGAATTGATATAGCTAAGACCACTGGTTGACAAACTAATAACCAAGTCCCTATATGCTTTAAAATATTTTTTTATAACGAAATAGATTACTTTGATTTAAAGAATGTCTTGGGCTTCCCAATGAATCATTCTGGTAACATTCTAAGGCATTTAATTTAGAGTTTTTACATAAGTATGAAAGTAATTTTCCAAGTGATAAAGTAGTATTACAAGATCAAAGACATAAAGATTCAAAAAATATATTGTGAAACCAAATAAACATTTAATCAAGTAGTTGGAGTGCATCCAATGTTTTCTATACAAAGTCAGACAAAGTCTGCGGGTACGGGGAATACCTAGAACAATAAAAAATAGACCAATAAATGTTTTTGAATTTCGAGATAGATTTCTTTGAACACCTTGAATGTATAGAAGAGCACTACATTAAGTGATTGAATGATTAAGTGATTGAATGATTGTCTTCAATCACTTGTAATCTGGAACGTAAATCATGTTCATAATAGTGTCAAAGAGCACTACAACCCACTTTATTAAACATCTTAAATATATAATATGAATTTAGGAAACAATCTTTCTTTCTCTGGTTCGACCGTCCGAGTCTACGAACGCTTTGTTTTCTCTGTTTTTTTTTTTGAAAGAATCATTGTTCTGCTTGTCATTTCGTGTTAGGGAAGCAAAAAAGGCGTCTCAAATTTTATCTCATCTATTCTTGACTTACGAATTAAATTTTGGGGAGAAATTTTTTAGATTTAATAAAATATTAATCTAACCTACTCAGCGTTCCAAAGTTACTTGCCACCTCATTTGGCTCTTTATTTGTTCATTAATTGTGATGAGTGTACAGCTATTGTTTCTAGACAGTCCCAAAAGCCTACGCGAGAACGTTGCTCTCTTTCTAGCCATCAATTTCACTCTCGTATTCAGCTTTCCATCTACTCGCTCAATTTCTTTCAAACAAGTCAATACATAAATAGGCAAAGGAAGCTCCCGATGAGCTCATTTTCGAGTTTGTTGTAATTCGGAATGTTGATGACGAGAGTTTGGAGATCAACAATTCACGGAAATGGAAAATGGGCGTTAGGGTTTTGGTGGTGGAGGAGGAGGATTTGTTCGAGCAGCGAAGGAAAACAGCGGCCAACAAGTGGAAAGAGAATTGCAGCGGCTTTGTGGGGGAATGGTGACTATGGGAGGTTGGGATTGGGTGGCTTAGAGTCCCAATGGAGGCCTGTTTTTTGCTCTGCGTTTGGGGATCAAAGTCTCCGTCAGATCGCTTGTGGTGGAGCTCATACTCTCTTTTTGACAGGTTTGGACTGGGATTCTTTATAATCAAAGAATATTTTTTTCTTGTTAACATTGATATTGATATTCATAACATCTCTCCATTGTGATTATTAGGAGAAAAGTAATTCACTTGGAATATGATTAGCACTCTACTTTTCATATGATTTTTGCAAGACCAGTTTAGAATTCACTCAGAATGTGAGCATTAGGGATCACATTGGTGAAGTAATTGGAAGAAAGCTGAACAAAGAAGAAGAGCAATGTAACATAAACAGAAATTTTAGGCAGAAGTTCTCATAAAAAATTTTTATGCATACCCCCTGCAGATAGACATAATTTTAGAGACACTACTTGTATTATTTGAAACTACTAGAGTGGGAGAGTTAGAGTCGAAAAGAGGATTCCTCTTTTTTGTCTCTCATTCAGAATCGTGCATGAGAATTTCATCTCAAACGGCTAATGGAATAAATGATTTTATGTTTATAACCTTAACAGTAAATTTTAGAAAAAATTCATTCACCTCCGACCTCCCTTGCAGTTTATCACATCTTCGATGGCACCCCCTATATTCACTATCACCCTAATAGATTTTATCAATTAACCAAGTTAATGAAAATGGTGTTCTACAAAATTACGCTTACATTTTTTGTATTATAGATCATCTACAATACATATAAATCATAACATTGCTTTAACCAACCGAGTTTCCTGTTAACCAAGTTTATATAATATGAAATTATGTCACACCAACCGACAGTCAAAGATTTTTTCTTTCCCCAACAATCAACTATTACTAACCCAGTTGCTTCACACACACACACAGAGACACACACATATATGATATATGTTTATATAAATTGTTGTATACAAAGATAGATAGATAGATGGGGGAGAGAGAGAATGAACAAAACTAAGATGCAATCCCATGATCAAATGCAAGTGTGGTCATGGACTATTGCTTATAGTAAGAGATTAACACTGATGATATGATTCAATGGAGGAGACATTATGATGGTCTCCTTCTGCAGTGGTATGTTATGTGTTTAGATGTCAGGGAAACTGCGGATCATATATTCTTCTAATATCTTGTTGCTTAATCGTTATGGAACAAATTGATTTGTGGCAAAATTGAGTCGAACTGCTCCTCGATCTTTGTCAAGGACCTCAGAGGTTTGGGAAAAACACAAAGGGGGTCATTGTGGCATTTTTGGATTTAGTCTATTATATGGGTTATTTGATTACAAAGGGATACTATGACCAAAAAAATAAAATAAATTTAGAAAGGGATACGAGGATTTTTGACAATAGATGTGAGGTGGTGGAAGGTTAATGGGAACTAATATGTATCTTAGAATCATTTTGGGCTTTGGTCTCTAAGGATTATCAAGGCACCCCTCTATTTTCTATTTTGGACGGTTGGAATGCTTTGTGCCATCTTTAGTTGAATGTCCACCACTATTGTAATTCTATACTTTGCTCCAAACATAAATCAATAAAACTTCAATGTTTCTTATCCAAAAAAAAGGGAATGGATAGCATGGGAATGTTGAGAATGCAAATAATAATGAAGCTTGGAGTAGAATACTGACATGTCACATAAAGATCAAAATTTCTTGGGCATGCTTCTAAGTTAGTAACTGTTGAATCTAGCCGGATTTACAATTTGAAACACATTTGTGGTTACATACATCTAAATGAAGCCAAATGTGAAGCTAAAGACAATGTAGGCTTATATTAATTGTGATTGGGACTATCAGAAGTCCATTGGTGTTAAATTTGAGTTGTATTCTATCCATGCAATACCTATTAGTTGACATTGTTATGTGTTGGTACCTTAATTTCATGTACGCTTGTTAATGGATTGGATTATAGTTTGACTTCAATCCGACTTCGGTTCTGTATAAATAGATATAAATGGAAATTTTAGTGCATTAATTAGAATCCGTTTAAGACACTTTGATTGGATTTGAATATGGATACATAGTAATCCAATGTGTTAATAATTAGATATGAAATATAGTATAAATAATACTATATATTATATGTCCGATGATTGATTTCTTTGAGGCACTAATTTACTATACAAAGAAGTTATGTTTGTCATGTTGCTCTCAAGTTTTTCATTATTTTATTTTCTTTTGACTAGTTCTAGTTTTCCTCATTTTGAATTGGAAAAAAGCAAGAAGAGAAAGGAATAGTTTAAAGACTAGAATAACCAAAGCCTTGGATCTAGGAAGTATGGATACAAACACGGGTGTCGCATCCGATACGATACGATAAGGACACGAGGATAGAAAAAAGGTAAAAAATATAGAACACGGTTATGACAAGAATACGACTATTAAAATAATTTAATATATTTTTTAGATAATAATAGAAATATAATATATTAAAAATAAAGAATATATTATAATAATATTAATAATAAGACCTAACAAATATTAATTTATTTTATTAAAATTAAAATAAATTAAAATAAATATCCACAATTTTCATCAAATATCATTACATTCGTTAACATTCATAGTATGTAAGTTACATAACAAAAAAAATAAAAATAAAAAAGAAATCACACCCCTTTTAATAGTTAATAATTTTTTTTTAAAAAAAATTCCTAGTTGTATTTTGGTCATGTCCTGACCATATCTTAACTGTATTCAAGCCATATCCTGATCGTGTCCAACAGTGTTCACTATTCAAGACACTTGTAGCTGTGTTGGCCACGTGTCCGACATTGCCACACCACCCATTTGGGAAGTATCTATGCTTCTTAGCCCTGTATAGATAAGAGTTGCCTAATTAACGAGGTAGAACCATGGAGGTCTAGGTCTAAACAACTGTTTGTTTCTTTCTTCCTAATAGCTTCAGTAAAGCTAGGATTCTGATTCAGATTGCAATGGCACTGAAGGAATTGTTTGCAAATTATTTAGGAATTCAAAGAAATAAGAACTCTGGCTGGATAGGTATCACACAATCCAGGGACTTAACCCCCCTCCCCCCGGGAACCCCAAAGAAAAAATGGAAAAAGGGGAATGAAAACAAAATCCTCAAAGCGGCTGTATAATTTCAAAGTAGGGGCTCAGTGGTGTAGGACTCTAGGTGATATGTCTTGCACACATGGGGCCATAATGGTTGATGTTACTTTAATGCACTTTTTTTTTTTTTTTTGAATTATATGACATATTTGTCAACGCTGACTCTATTTGACTTTATTTGGGAGTGCCCATGGGGAGTTTGCTCCGGCAAGTATTAGAGTAATAGGATTTATGGGAGAATGTTTCGTTAGCTTTTAACATTCAAAGCTCAAGCTGTAGGATTAAGTTGGTGAATCTAAATATCCTTACATAGACGGTTGATGTCAAACTTCTTTTTTTGTCGTCTTTATTCCATTATAATTCACCTTTGTTTTTTGACTGACTTTATTGTGGATTGGCATGGATCAAGAAATTAATTCTGAAATTAAGAGGCAGCAGTTATCTCTTTTGTATAATTGAATTTATCATGAATCTCTATGGGTCAAGAACCTGGTTCTGA